GAGATAGACTGCCCCTGGCTGTGGGAGTGGCTCCCCGTCCCCGCGGTGGGCCGGCCCATGCGCCACTTCACGCGGGTCTGGGAAGGGCCCTGGCGAGATGCGCGGCACGAGTTTGGCGCTGCCGTCATGGAGAGCAGGACGAGCTGCTGGGTCTCCGGATCCCCGCCACCCTGACCAAGGCCAGGGCTGTGGTTCTGGCAGCCGAAGCTTCTTGCCTGCGAAGACGACCAGGCGCTGGCGATGCCGGATCTCGTGGCGCCGGCGCGGCAGGACCCCCTGTCGGTGGGACTGCGCGCGTTGGCGGCCCGGCTGCAGGAGCTCGACCTCCGAGCCTTTGTCACCAAGCATCTCTTCCCCGCACCAGGCGACGCGACACAGTGGTCGCGCATGTGACGGCTCACCGTCGAGTTTCACCCGCTGCGGCCAGAAGGCAGCTGGTATTTTGTCGGCCCTCGAGGCGAGGATCCCCATCCCGAGGGCTTCGTCATCTCCGGAGTTGACCACTATCCGCCGCTGCAGGCCACGGCGGAGGACGAGGAGGTGGACGAGCAGTGGGACGAGGACCCCCCAGGGGGGAGAAGAGATTGACGCTTTCCCAGACGTGTTCCGCACCGAGCAGCTCGCCGAGAGGATCGAGCCGCTGCTCGCGGCCTTTGCCTCGGCAGTGAAGAACATAGGCGCTCTCGAGGACGCCGAGCTCTTCGCTTACCTGGCGTAGTATCCCTCCGAGAGCAGGGCCGACGACTATGGAGACGAGGCGCCGTACGACTGCGAGAACGGCGTGCATAGGTGGGGTGTACGATACCTCGCCGGTGGGAGTGGTGACGAGGGGGGAGCTGAAGCAGTGGTCCGGTGGCAGGTCGGTGACTGGAGACCAAGTCGGGGCGTATTGGACCTGTTTGAAGAACTGGGACGACAGGAGTGGCTGGACTTTGCGTTTGAGCATGAGAGGAACATGAAACCCCATACTGTCGCTCCAGAGTGAGCACCATTTCTGACTCGAAATTCTCCATGCAGTCCATAACCTACTGCGTAACGGTGGCCGGCAGGGTTATGTCTCCATTACGATAGACTTCTGTGCCACCTTCGTCAGTGTCCGCTTCACCATGCCCCCCGATGTCACCGTGAGAGCTATTCGCAGACGTACACCCTTGCGCCGCTGGCCACTGGAACCCGCAACAGCTACCAACCCCTGTCGGAGCTCGAAGCCCGCAACTACAACGCCGACAGTGGCAACTTCGTGGCCTGAAACTCGCTCGGCACCAGCGTCACGGATCCTGCCCGCGCTTCATGACCCTGCAGGCCACAGGCGCCGTCGCTGAAACGAAACCGGCAGCGACCACAAGCGCGATGGAGGCCCGACCCTCGAGACCGACGCATACCGGCTAGTCAAGCAACCGCAACAAGTGGGATGTTTTCCTGTCTCGGGAGGGGTGCGGCTAAAGGCGCAAGACAACAGCATCTCTTTGATCCGGCTCTACGACTGGAACCCGGCTGGTTCTTGGTCTCGACGATAGAAGGTGTGGCGCACTTTCTCGCGGTCGAAAACTAGGTAAGAACCAAAAACAGCTTTCCTGAAAGTGTTGTTAGTATCGTACAGTCGAACAACAAGTTCACTTTGTAGTCCAGCTGTGAGTCCAAAGTAGTTAAAGCTTCACAAAGCGCGGATCGATGTTTCCTGGTGATACGGAAAATCACACCCGACTGTTTTCGTTGGCCTGCGTCCCCAGCCACAACAATTTTCTCCGGACCCCCATCCCGCCGATTCCCGCGGGCGCTCGATAAAATCACGTGGCTGGTCGTTCGCTTGGCACGTGAACTTCAGGCTTCGGGCGCGAAGCTAGCGGGGACATGGATCTGGTAATTTTTGCTGTCATCTTTGATTCCATTCGAGACAAGACGCACAGATGCCGTTGCCCATTGACGCAACTGTGTTGCTCATCTGCACACCGAGATTTTCCGGGGCAGTCGTCAGAAGTTGCGCCTGCCTTCTGCACGCCGGGAAGAGCCCGAGCTGCCGTTTGCTGTGAGCTCTATCGTGTCTTTTTCGTCCCCAAGACAGTCCGTACGCAGTATCCGTACATACCGGCACATTCCCCAGCCACCGCGCAGTGGCCAAGGAGCCTTCACTCCCACCCGCTTGGCCTGGTCGGGGCCACCCACCAACTCCTCGCAAGCTGACGCATTTCCGGAACCTCTCCAAACCCACTTTCTTAAGGAAAGACACACACGTTAGCTTCCTGGCGCCCTCTCTCGAGACTCGCCATCCTCGTATCCTCGACACATCTGATCAACGCAGCCCGCCGCTTTTCCATCCCAAACGGGCCAACCATCCCCATCTCGGCGCAACCGTCGCGACACTCGGCAGCTATGGCATCGGCGCGTAAGAGGCCCCGGACCGAGCCCGAGGACAACCGGGCCGAATGCCCCTTCACCATCAAGATTGTCGATCCGAAGGACAAGGAGCAGAAAAAGAAGAAGCGCAGGCGGACCGAGACTGGCGATGAGGATGACGGCGCCCAGAAGATCAACCTACAAATGTCGCCCTTTGCGCCCTCGGGCAAGTTCAAGACACACGAGACGATGGACCTCTACTACCAAGTCGATCCGGCAAAGAGATGGACAGACATGACGAGATACAACAGCTTCGTCCGTAAGTCCACTTCATCGCGTCCCCACCCTGCCCGCGCCTCACACGGAACGCGTCGACTAATCCGCTCGCCCGCCCTGCCGCACAGTCAACGGGATCAAGTACTTTAGCGAGGGCTTCATCTATGTCGCGAACGACTCCAGCATCGAGCGCCAGAAGGCTGTTAATAACAATGAGCCTATGCAGCCGAGGAAGAAGTCGGACGACGACTGGGTTGCCCGCATCCTAGAGATTCGCGCCAGCGACGAGCACCACGTCTATGCGCGAGTCTACTGGATGTACTGGCCGGACGAGCTCCCGCAGGGGACGCACGACGGCAAGAAGGTGATCCAGGGCCGCCAACCATACCACGGCCTGAACGAATTGGTCGCATCCAACCACAGTGAGCAACACCGGGCTGCGGCACAGCATACCGCCGCGCGACCAGAGCTGACTTTGACGCAGTGGACATCATCAACGTTGTGAGCGTCACATCACAGGCGCAAGTGAAGCAGTGGTACGAGGAGAACGACGAGGAGATACAAAATGCGCTGTACTGGCGGCAGGCGTTCGATGTCCGGACATACGAGCTTTCTGTACGTAGCTTGGCCCCAGCTTTCCTTTCCGCTCACCCGGTCTTCATGCTAACGTTTGCTCGCTCAGACGGTTGAGCTTGTCTGCAGCTGCAACACGCCCGCGAATCCGGATAAGATCCTGATCGGGTGCACGATGGAATCGTGCAAGAAGTGGATGCACGAGCAGTGCATCCTAGACGACGCGCTTCGGTCGGTATACAAGCGCTTGGGTACCGACAAACCCCACCTGCCCCCAGTACCGACAAAGAAGGAGGAGAACGGCGACGAAGGGAAGCGCCCGTTGAGCCCCTCGGACACGGGTGCCGAGGGGTCTGCCGAACACTCGATCGACGTCAAGGCCGAGGGGGGCTCCGTCCACGTCAGCACAAAAGACAACGTCGACGTCCGGCAGGGCACCGCCGACGACGAAGACGCCCAGGCTGCGCCCGAAGACTCGCTGCCCCTGCGACCCGCCGGCCAGCCGCGCGCGACGAGCGAGATGACCGACACACCGAGCAAGCCCCCGGCCGCGGGCAAGTCGACGATGGGCCGCAAGCCGGGCAGGCCACGGAAATCCAAGGGGGCGGAAGCGAACGGCGAGAGCGCGCAGCCTTGGGACGGGCTGTTCGAGGCGACGCTCACGACGGCCGAGATGGGCCCGGCGCTGATTGAGTTTCGCGACCTGCGCGAGGGGGTTGCCGGCGGCGAAAAGACGTGGACAGAGCCTGTCAAGTGCCTGCTCTGTGGGAACCAAGTCAATTAGTGGCCGACTCTGGCCCCGGAAGGGGACGTGGGTCAGGCTGGGGTCGACAAATGCTGCGGGATTGAGGACCAGGTCGCCGATGGGGACTACGACGCCGACTGGGAGGATGCGGATGCGGAGGGAGAGGACGATCCCGAATATGAGAACGGGCTAGGATGCTGAAGGAGGGGGTGGGGTGGGCGCTACGAGGGCAGGCGTTGGTGCGGACGCTTGAGAATGTGGCCATGTCTTAGCTGTCGCCGGCTCTATCAACCCCTCTGCCCACGGTGCTGCCGGGGCTCTGCGCCAAGGGCCACTGCATGATACGGTGATGCGAAGGGGCCAGATGGGTCTCAGCAACCGCGGTGGCAGGAGGTGGCCACAAGGAAGAGGAGGAGAAGTTCTACTGGCAGGCGATGTGAGAGTGCAGACTTCACTAATTGGAACTGGAGAAAAAGTGCCGACATGAGATGTTACATGACTGTGTGAGGCAGGGTGTTGGTGTTGTGTGGTACTGCTGTTGTTAGCTCCCTCGGTTGGGGGCAGAAGAGGCTTGCTGTGGGCCGGCCTGTCTGACGACATACGTTCTTGCTTGGTAGGTAGCTAAGGTACCTTATCTGTTGCGTACAACTACCCTCTGAGCGGCTCTTGACGCAGGTCTGGTGTCGTTGATGTGCCTGGGAGTATGGTCTCTTTCAACGGGCGGAGAAGACGCAGGAGAGGAAGGCTGAAGAAATGGTGAGGGTTTAGCGGTCGCGCAGAGTTGTTGAGCTCTGAGATCTCCCCTCTCTTGGGTATGGCAGCGGCAAAAGCTATGGCTCTTCCTTGTGTGATTCTTCAGCCTTTGCTCTCTTGTAAAGTTTGCCCCGGATTGAATCAAGCTTGACCGACCGCTCACAACGTCTCGGTTTGCCTCCCACCCAGAACGGATAAACACCCAAGAACGTGGTATCTAGCTCAATGAAACCACCTACTGAGCCGCCTGAAGCTGAATTGATGGCCAGGCCACCCGACATTTGCAAAAAGTCATATACAAGACTAACCTACCAAAAGATGACCGTGGCAGGGATCGAACCTGCGATCCTCTGCGATACTATCACGTATGTAAAGCAGATGCCTTAACCGCTGGGCCACACAGCCAGCATGGTTATCTTCCTTGCAACTAATTAAGTATACATATTTAATTGTTTGCTTCGGTGGTGGTACCGGCTCGGCCCGGCCACTGGTATGAGGCAATCGGCTCCTACTAGAACGAAGGAGCAACGCCGGCCCGGGTCTTTGCCGATAAGCATACTAAAAAGCCCAAACCCGCTCCAGATTTTGAGCAAACAATAACACAAAACTTGGGAGGTCGAGCCAGACCAAACCATGAAGCGCTTACGAGTTGCCAGTAGTGTAGTGCGCAACAATGCGACCACGGGGAAACTGCTAAGGTCTGTGTTCCACCCAATGGCTCGCCCTCTTATTCCAAACACAAATAACACCCCGTCACAGGACCCCTTCATCTCTACTCCAGAACCCGAGCACTTTCCAGAGTCGACCAGCCCTCTTTCTCTTCGCCGCCAGTACCAACACCACACCATGGCAGCCTCCGATATTAGTTCGGCCCTTCTGCCACGCACCCCAACGCCAAAAGCGCAAAGACAAAGACAGACGCGGCAAAGATAACTACGACGGCAACCCAAACCACCAAGTCAACAGCGCCGCCGACACTGCCCAGCCTCAGAGTTCCACCATTAAAGCCGCCGACGACGCCGACGCGCCCAATCCGTTCGACTTCAGCGACCTGCAAGCCGCCTTCGACCAGGCCGCGGGGCGCTTCGCCGACGACCTCAAGAAGCTGCGCGCCGGGGGCCGGTTCAACGCCGACACGATCGGGGCGATCCGGGTGCAGCCGGACCGCAAGTCGGCGCAGACGTTCCCGCTGCGGGAGCTGGCGACGGTGGCGCCGCTCGGGGGCCGGCGGTGGAGCGTGCTGGCGTTCGACGAGGCGTCGGTCAAGGCCATCGTCAGCGCGGTGCAGCGGTCGGACGAGTTCAACCAGCAGCCGCAGCGCAGCGACGAGAACCCGCTCGAGCTCACCATGACGGTCGAGCCCGAGCGGGCCGACGCGCTTGTCCGGCGGGCCAGGGAGGTTTGCCAGGCGTGGCGGACCCGGGTCCGGGAGGAGGCCCACAGGAGGGCCGAGATGCACAAGAAGTGGAGGGCGGAGCGGTTGGTCTCCAGCGATGATGTGTACAAGCTGAGGGATAAGCTGCAGAAGTTGCAGGATGAGAGGATGAACGCGATTCTGGCCAAGGAGAAGGAGGTTGTGGCGGGGATGATGGCGAGGGGGGCCTGATATGCGAACGACAGGTTCATTCATGGGTACTATAGTATACCATTTTGGAATTGGTCATACATGGCGAAGGATACGGGCGGATTAGAACAATGTGCGCGTTCCATGTGTGCGATAGAAACCTTCTCTGTATAGTAGACTAACAAAACACCCAGCCGAGGACAGTATTGTTACATGTAGACAAGCCAGCAATGGCTCCTGGCTTTTGGAGCTCGTTTCCTTTTTGCCTTCTCATTCCCATCAGCGCTTGGCCTGAGCAGCGGCTTTATTAGCCCCTTGCGCAGGCAGCAGCGAAAGCACCTTGTCCATAAACTTTTGCGAATCCGACGCCTTGTAGGTGAATGTACGCGTGTGGTACTTGGTCACGGTGCCCTTGACGTCGCTGAGCTCGGCAAAACCGCCTACCTCGTACTTTCCAAGGACAGCAGACTCAACAATCGCCTTCTTGATTCCGGCGTCGGGCCCGACAAGGTGGAGCTTGGGGTTGCTGTTCTCGATCCACGCCTTCTCCTCCTTGCTGTGCACGAAGATGGGCTTCTTCCGGCGGTACCGGTTCATGATCTCGTTGAGATCGGCCGTGACGCCCGATTCCGCGTTGAAGGCCATGCCGCCCGTCATGAGCCGCATGTTCCGCATCACCGTCTCGACCGGGCCGATCGGCGCGTCCGTCGCGATGGCCGCGCCGTACCCGCTCAGCGAGTCCGCCGTCATCTTGGGGTCGAACGGCACCACCTCGCCCTTGTCCAGCCGGTCGAGCACGGCCTGCTCCTCGCGCGTCCACTCCAGCTTCTTGCCCGCGGAAGACTGCTTGTCCCCCTTGTTCGAGTCCCTGGCGGTTTTGATCTGGTGTGACCGGTGTCCCGACATGCGCGACCCGGAGCTCGATCTCCCCCCCCGGAATCCCCCGCGGCGGCCGCGACTACTAAACATAGGCCGAAACCCACCTGCTTCTCCCCCCGCATCGCGGCCACCGAGCCCACCGCCGGTCAGCCCGCCCCGGCCAAACGGCGTCCGGGAACGCAACCCGCCGCGCAAGCTGCGGATGTTGAGTATCTTGGGAGCGGACGGAGAGGAGCCCGCGTCGGCCGTTGTCGCGGGCGAGGCCCGGAACGAGCGCGCGTCGATGCCACCGCGGCTTCCGCCGCGGCTGCCGCCGAATTGGGCGGGCCTGCTGAAGCCGGATCCGTCTTGTCGTCGGTCTTGTGGGCCGGTGGTGTTTTGGCGCTGCGTGTTGAGCTGGGACAGTCGCGCAACGGCGGCGGCGGATTGTGAGCGGGGCCCGGCGCTGCCATTGCTGTTGCTGTGGCTGTCGTCGTCTGCTGGGCGGGAGGTCGCGGTCGAGAAGAAGGATGTCGGAGTTGTTGTGCTGATGGGGAGTTGCAACGCGCGGGCGGTCGTGGAGGGCTTGCCGCGCCCGAGGGCGGCCCGGAGGCCGTGCCGGTTCATGTCAGAGTCAGGTTCGTGTGCCTTTTGTAATGGCGAGGTGCCCGCGAGGAGCGAGGCTTGAGGGTTGTCGTCCGTCGCTGGCGAGATGGAATTGATGATTTGGATGGGAAAATGGATGCAGTCGGGTTGAAAATGTTACGCTCATGGTGATTGGTCAACTGCCATCTATAATGGGACCGAGTAGTGGACTCTCTCGGGGGTTCTGCCATCAAACAATGTTATCCCCTCAAAGTGAGCCTCAGTCAAACTACCCCTTCCACACGCCAACGTTTTTCTTAGCGAGACCGATCGACTACAGACGGGTGAGCCGAACCCAGCTCAGCTCTTTCGATACGCTCGCGCAAGCTGACCATCAACTGTTTCAGACTCGATGACACTCAACTGAGACTAGAGACGGGTCTTGGTTGCTACCATCAACCTGGAAGCGGGCGCAAAAACTAGTACTCACGAAGCATGTCTCTGGCCCTGAGAGTACCGGAGTAGACGGTTCACCACTGTCTCGCGTCCTAGTACTGGGCGAGCCCGGCGATGGATCGCGGCGGTAGCTGACCAGACCAATTCCGGGCGAGGCTTCCCATCGATAACTAGACGAGTGCCGGCCTCATGCCTCGCACGTGGCCGATCAGCTCCGATCATCAGGCGGGATCTCTGGTGGGCAAAGGGAAAGTCGCTGGCTAATGCCGAGGCAACACTAATCCCCGGCTAGCGCGTCTTACATATATACTGGGGAAGTTACCCGTGCATGTAGGTACCGCAGCAGGTAGGACGCCTTCAATGCTGCAGGTGGGAGTGCATCCCTCCCGTCCTGGGTGGCGAGGTGGTAGAGCCTAAATGCGCAGGAAGCTCCCTTCATGCAGGCAATCTACGCGGTCCGTAGGTAAGTGAATGATGGCTCTACAAGCGCGGCACGTGAGCTCACTGCGCAGGCAGGCAGCCAGGCTGAGAGAAAGGGACTCGGATCACACATCTCATAGTTCCCTCGGCACGCCTTGCCAATTCACTCGAGGTAGCGGTGTGTGAGCAGGGCGTGATCAAGATTGCGATGCCTCTTCGATCGTTGGGGGATGGATGGGTCGTCCGAGGGTGGCGATGAGGGAGGGGAAATGTTCGGAGCCCATGGCGATTATTTTTTTCGCTAAAGGCTACAACTCATGGCGTTCGTGGGTTGGCCTAACGTTCTCTATGTCCATCGGAGGATACTCCGAGCCTGAAGCCCACATCCTCGAAAGATAGTGGTCCTATGATCGTTGATCCGTCCTATGCTTGTTGGTCCGTCCTGTGATCGTTGGTCCGTCCTGTGATCGTTGGTCCGTCCTGTGATCGTTGGTCCGTCCTGTGATCGTTGGTCCGTCCTGTGATCGTTGGTCGAATCGGGCAGGATGTGATCCAAACAACTTTCCCATGGATGTTGACACAGGGATCGATCTATGGGCCGGGTAAGGAATTTGAAAGCGCCTCGGCATCAGGTCGTTGTGTGTTTGGGCTTTGGAGAGATGCCACCTGGGCACCGGTCCGGGGAAGTTGTTCCTCGGGTAACGGAGCGGAAATCAGCATATACGAGAAGGTACAAGTACAGGACAGATTATCTTCAGTCATAACCTTCCCGTCGTCCGACACTGGCGAGTCGGAGTGCCATCCCGTGCCTACCACAGTCTGTAACGGTCGGTTATTATCAACGTACCAGGAGATGGGGGTACGATGAAAGATGGATGCCGGACCAGTCGATGAGATCAGGTACATCACTGTGTACTGCGGTACATCAGGAGCTTCGCCTTCCTACACAAGTACTGTACTGTGGTACACGTACCTATCCGCCCGGCTCGCCTATTCGGAGGTTGCTGAGAGGTCGCCTGACAACGGGGGATCTCGCTCCATTGGGGGCGTGACAGATGGGCGGCTCTTCTCAACGCTGTATGATCCAAAGATGGTGCTGCGGGTTCGTGGCCGAGTGGTGGAAAGGGCGCATACTTGCATGAAACTGCAGTGCCATGCTTCGGAGCGAAAGGCAATTCGTGCTGATTTATTAGAGGTGTCTTCACAGTGATCCCCGGTGGTAACCTGGAACGTTGGTGTTCACACTTTGGACGCAATTTAAAGATTGTTAAGGAACAATGTTTTGTCAAGGCCCACTGCCATTCCCTTCCAGGTTTCCTGTTTAGATGTGTACAACACATTACCCTAGTCCTGTACAGTGTACAAGGACGGATGACAAGGCTGAAGCACATGAAAGCAAATCGAGAGTTTGGTCCCTTTTGTTTGAGAGTCAGTTTTTTGATAGGTACGGGTACATTCGAACGCTTCGACTAGATTTTCTCAAGACAGGGATTGTTCGGTCAGCTCCCGTCGGTGCCGTTAT